AAAAATAGAGACAGAGACCAATGGAACAGAACAGAGAACACAGATTTTTTTCTTTTCTTTTTTTTTTTTTTGAGACAAAATCTCCCCCAAGTAGAGTGCAATGGCATCATCATAGCTCATTGCAACCTCAAATTCCTGGGCTCAAATGATCCTCCTGTCTCAACCTCCCAAATATCTAGGACTATACAAACAATGATGCTACAGAGAACTATTTTTAGTAGAGACAGTGTCTCGCTCTTGCTCAGGCTGGTATTGAACTCCTGACCTGAAGCGATCCTCCTGCCTCAACCTCCTAGAGTGCTAGGATTATAGGCATGAGCCACCACACTTGGCCCAGATATTTCTTATAGTTACATTTATTATATTTTATCATTACATACATTGTATATCATTTTATTTTATGATACATTTATATTTATGATATAAATATAATATGTATTATACATAGGTTATGTATTAAATATATTTTAATATCTTAATATATTTAAATATAAATATAAACAGATACATGTATATAAAATTTATTTATTGTAAACTAACAAATCAACAAAAATACTAACTGCCTACTAACATTTGTTGAATTGAATGCTTATCTTTTGAAATTATCACTTCCTTTTGCCTATATAACTATAACAATATTATGGTTCTTATTTTACATGTAGCATTACATTATTAAAGTCTATTTAGTTTTTAGACTTTATGAAGGCATAGTCAACACCTAAGTAATATTTGGTAGATGATGGAGGACAGTTCTGTTTTAAACTATATCGATGTTATAGTTTACGATGTTATAGATATGATGTTAACGAACACCCATCTTTACCCCATTTTCCAATCTCAGCAAATACAACAGCAATCTCAGAACATTCCTGGTCATGCCTTCCTTTCCATTTTTGTTGTATTTTTGTTTTATCTTCAATGTTAGTCCCCATGAAGGTTTCTCAACACCTCTTCTAAGGAAGAATACTTTGTTTTTCCCCTGGGATCTCAGAGCACTCCATAATTACTTGTTTACATGTCTGTATTCCTGACTAGACTTTGCTCTCCTACATATAGGGATTATGCCTTATGCATTTTTGTATCCCTGGTACATAGTATTTAATAGCTACTCAATAAAAACCTCATGAAAGAATAATCTTAAAGTGCTGGGAGGGGAAATCAATCAATCTTAACAGTAAGTAAAATGGATGAAGATAACACTTCTAGTGTGATATCCTACATTTGAAATACTGCATACAATGTTACATTTTAAGTGGGGGATGCTAGGCTCAAACCATCCTTAAAATATTTTTAAAAGTTTGCAATAAGACAAATTAGCCATTATCTCCAATGACTACACATTTAAGTCTGTTAATAGATGTTTAAAAAAAAAAAAAAGAAAAAGCTATATGCACTGGGACAATGGAAGCTCTTCTCAGTATTAACAGTACAAAGTATAAGTTTATTCTATACAACTAGTAGACTCATCAGCAATGAATTTAGATTTTCCCTTGCAAAGGCAGTTCTTTCTCCCTAATTTATATATAGGCAAAAGCCACATTCAGCATAGAAAACAATATAAAAATAACTGCATGTATTTATAAGCAACTATAATTATAAACCAGTACATTCTCCCTTTGAGAAAATAGTGTAAAATTCAAGTGTAGGTGGTAGTTTGATTCTGGAGATCTGTCATCTGTTTTCAGATACATTTCAAGAAAAGCACTGAGCTAATTAACTTTATTATTCCTCCTCTTCCTTCGAAGGAAAGCTTATGCAAATTTCCCGAGGCAGATCATATTCATAAGGAAAAAGCACCACACTCTGAGTGGGCCCCAATCCACAGCTCTTTCTAGTAACAAAGTGGTACAGGTGAATGGGGGCAGGGGGGAAATATTTTGGCAAAATTCTCCATGGAAGGAAAGGGAGGTCTGTGGAAGTTCTCTCCTTTAGCAAAGTTAGGAATCTTCAGTGCTTTTAAATGGAATAAAAATCATGTTGCTTTAGCAACAAAAACCCCCATCCTCATCTCTGTAACAGTGCCTACTAACAAGAAAGTCACCAGCAAATTTGTGTATTTTCCTGGAGTTAAACAGTCTTGCACATCTGGTTTGGAAATTGAGAATTCTCCCTCTCTTAGGCTAACTGCAAGAGTGAAATAAGAAAGGTAAATCAGCCATCTGCTGAAGAGCTCACTAACCAGGCTACAGGGGGTGGGCAGCATTTACCTCTCAAGGAATCTGGGATTTCAAGGTTTTCACAGTAACCTGTTTGTCTTCCTGATGCCACCCCATTCTCTAGAGCCTGGCTAATGATATACTAACCATATGGCTGGGTCTGCTTTCCTTTTCCATTTTCATTAGATTTAAACTTCTGGAGGGCAGGGCTATGCACCTCTGTTTATTTTCATGTGGCTGTAGAACACCTGGAATACTTTTTAAACTCGATCTTGAGCAATATTTGAGATGATGACTTTTTGGATGGAACAATGTCATTGAACAATGTTAATTCCTTCTGGCACCAAAATTACTCTGTTGATCATATCTTTTATAGGACGCTACTCAAAATACAAACAATAGCTTTTTTAGGTTTACCAATACAAGAAATTAATGTTCAAAATCCTAGGTGGTCATCTACATTTTATAGATCAGGAAAAACAAGCATAGTTACCAGGGAAGGTACACACATTTTTATAATAAAATATTTGCAACACTTCTTAGTATTCTGGGAACAAGTAATTAAAGTCCTGATGCCTTGAATACTTTCAACATTAATCACAAGAGTGTAGACTAAACTCACACATATTTAATCACTTTAAAAGAACAGGGGAAAGATGAAATTGTCCAGGTGTATCATATTTTACTCCATCTTCTACTTCATATATTTTAGTTGCAATTGAGGTATGAGTTTGCTAAATATATTTCAGGTATTTATAAGAATAGTGGTCAATACTATTGCTATTAAGAAACATAATTTTTGCATCTGTCCTTTAAAAGTTTTTTAGAACTTGTCTGTCCACCCCCCCCAGCCTGCCCAGCAGAAAGGCATTGAGTTATGATAAGGTTCCTTTCTCAACCTTGTTCTATGACTTTCTCTTGTGTGAACTGAGAGATGATACTTAGCTCTTCCAAGCTACAGCTTCCTTATCTATGAAATGCAGTTAATAATTCCCACTTACAGGGTGATCGTGAGGATTAAGCCAGGTAATGTATACAGAGTGCCTGGCACTGAGTAAACACAACAAATGGTAACTGTTAGTAAAAATAATAGAGATATTAAAGATCTTTTTAGATGATAGCAATAATCAAAGTTTATAGTGCACATTTTGCAAAAGATAAATTTTAAATCAGTGAGCAAATTTTGTCTTTATTCAATTTTCCATAAATATTTAAAGATAATAATTAACTCTCCCTGTTTTTAAAAATGCAGCCAGAAATTTCCTTAATGGTCATTTTGATTTTCACAGTTACTTGTTGCAGATCACTCATTTGTTTCTCCCTGCAATCCATTCTTCTAATCCAACCATTTAACAAACAGTTTTGAGTTTATTCTTTGTGCTGGGCACATTAAAATATGAATGCTCCCCACAAAAGAATGGAAGTGAGAGAGCTGGGACAATCCAACCTGGGGGTGAGTTTCATCACCTGAACTTGCTATGTTTAGGGCATAAGAGGTAACCTTAAACCTTGCCTTATCAATTTCTTCATCCGTAAAATGAAAACCACTCTCTCTCCACTGAAAAAGATTGTTCTGATAGCCAAATGAGACAATGCATGTAAAAGAATTTTATAAATAATAAAGCATGGTAGAAATACAAGGTATTATTAAAAATTAGCATTGTTAATAATAATGTCAGTTGGATTCATGTCTCGGTATTATTTTGAAAACTTCTTTCTTGAGAGACCAGCACGCCTGCATTTGCTGGCTATAAATTTAATCAATTAATTGCAAGTCTCTTCCAACCAACTGGATTTTCTCCTTCCGGTTACATTGGCAGATCTCTTTGCCTTGCACTTAGATTGTACAAACACGATTGTGATTCTGCTTCAACAGACGTGAAGTTTAGAATTAATGATCACAGTCACTCTTGATTCCATCTGAAATCACATTTTTGGTAAATGGGAAAATTGTAGCATGTATGTATGTGGCAGTGGGGTAGGTCTATATTTTAAAGACTACTTAAATTCTCCTTTTTGTAGGAATTAAGAGACCAAAAAGTACCAATTGCCTCATGGCATGCCTAAATATTTCTAGTGGCATTGGGATATTTACAAATATTCCATGCAATTTCCAAACAATCCAAATAAAAATATTTTCCAAACAATTTTAGGTTTCCAAAATTCTTCTGAGATGTTCCCAAGATGTCCAAGGAACTTTGTAAACACAGACTGATAGCTTCACCAAGACTAGACTTAGTCTTTCTGGTAATGAAGCATAGAGCTTTCTGGCAGAAAATTTGGCGACCGTTTTGTAGCACACTGCGGAAGTGAACACTTCCTCCTGGCCGGCACTCCTCTGCTCACCAGGATCCTGTGGGATCCGGGCAGGGTTGGTCGCAGGCACTGTGGAAGGAGAGTGCATGGCGAATGTGATACTGGGGCTGTCAGATACTTGTTCTCAAATATCACCCCATCCAGGTGTAATAGACCTTGAAATGCCACCAGCAGAAGAAATAACACATTGTTCCTTGGGGGAGATTTTGAGGCAGTTTAAGCTGTAAAAATATTCCCTCATCAAATGAAAAGTAAATTATTTCTAGCACCCAGAAAAGCACTTAGTACCCCGACTGAGCTTAAGCAGCAGACAGGAGCATAGTCTGTGATGAATAGTAAATCAGATTGAACCTCTTCCTCCTTCCTATGCATCCCACGTGCTTCAGGGAATGCTAGCCTCTCCTCCAGCTCCAGGATTTAGTCCTAAATCAATCAATCTCTTTGGGAGTGACTGGTCCAGGTGTGTGACAGAAGCCAATCATCCTGGCATTCCACTACCAACTGTGGATAGTTGAACTAATTGGCTTTGGTAGGCTGAAAGGATGGATTTTTATTCCCTGGTTGGAGAATAGTTGTTTCCCTCTCTCTTGCTAGATGTAACCAGGGAAGCCTGTTGCTCCCATTGTTGCTGCCCCCAGGAGCTCCCCGAGGGCAATGACAACACGCTGGTGAAAGGAGAACAAAACAAATGCGGGGGAAACAGAGTCAGAGCCCCCTGCCTGTAGTTTGGACATCTTGTTACAGGAAATGAAAGTTTTCCTTATTGTTTAAGCAGTGTCGAGTCAGTTTTCTATACATTGTGGTCCAAAGCATTCTAACTAATATAGACCTCAGGAAATGTTTGTTAAATAATTTGTTAAATGAATAAGGGCAAAAGTGAGTGGGCAGAAGAAAGCCAGGTGGGCTGAAAGGAGAGTGGAAGCGGATCAGGGCAGAGCTGGGATGCCGTGAGCTGGAAGTGAATTCCTGCAAGGGGCCTTGGCCAGGGAGCTGCTGTGTGTGGGCCCGAGAGGACCCTGTGAGGCCCACTTGGGTGTCCGGGAGCTGGAGCTGTGTCGGGCAAGAGTGCTCGCCAGGGGTCCCGATGAGTAGGAACTGAACACCGCCTGCACCCCAGGCTCGCTCCGGTGGTTCCGTCTACGGGAGCGTGAAGTTCATTTTTGTTTGCTTATTTATTTACTAGAACTGCAAGTTCCATGAGATCAAGTACATTGTCTTCTTTGTTCGTTGTGGAATCCCTCCAATGGCTAAAATAGTGCCTGACACAAGGTAAGAAATATGAACATATTTATTTTTTTAGTAACAGCTTTATTGAGATATAGTTCACAAGCCATAAAGTTTACGCCTTTAAAGTGTATAATTCATCGATTTTTAGTGTAGTCACAGAATTGTGCAACTATTACCACTATCCAATTTCAGAACATTTTCATCACCCCAAAAAGCTTATTAGCAGTCACTTCCCATTTCCCTCTATCACCAGCTGCTGGCAATCACTAATCTACTTTCTGTCCCCAGGGATTTGCCTATTCTTGACATTCCAAATAGATCATAAAAGAGGTCGCCTTTTGTGACTGGCTTCTTTCTCCTAGCACTTTTGAAGGTTCATTGATGTCATAGCACATGTCAATACTCCACTCCTTTTATGGCTGAATTATATTCCACTTTATGGATATATCTATCACATTTTGTATATCCATTTGTCAGTTGATGGACATTTGGGTTATTTCCAGTTTGGGGCTATTATGAATGATGCTGTTATGAACATTTATCTACAAGTTTTTGTGTGGAAACGTTTTTAATTCTCTTGGGTATGTACCTAGGATTGGAATTGCTGGATCATATGGTAGGTCTATGTTTAACTCTTTGAGGAATTGCCAACTGCTTTCCAAAGTGACTGTACCATTTTACATTCCCATCAGCAGTGAATAAGGGTTCCAATTTCTCCACATCCTATCTTTATAACAAGATAACACTTATTACCTGTCATTTTAATTTTAGCTATCATAGTGGATATGAAATGGTATTTCATAGTGATTTTTTGATGCATATTTTTAAAGGAGCCAATAAGTCTGGATCAAGAACCTCACTCAACATGTGTCATTAGGGTTTGCTCTGCCACTCACTCTCTGGTTACCCTGTTCCCATGTGAAGATGCCTCCCGGAGCACTCCCAGAACAACCGGAAGATCAAAGGTAAATTCTTGAAACCTAGTGGGGTGAGGGGTCACCCTGGGCACAGAAGTGTCCTCCGGGCTCTGAGCGTGAAAGAACAGATTCCATCGTTGCACAAAGACAGTGCATTTTCTCAAATCATGTCTTGCTATATGTGTAGGGGCCAGTATAATATAGAAAGACTGGAAATATTAATGGAAGAGTGTAAGTGGGCTTTCCTGGACCTCACATGAGGCCAAAAGAGGGGAGGTTCTCCAGGTGGCAGATAGGAATGGAGGCACCATGTCTCTCCTTTTCCTCTGCCACTCTCCAGCAACCAGCCCTCGGGGATTTCTTAGCAGAATGCTCTTGGAATTTGGTTGGAAAAATCTTCCTTGAGCAGGACTGTCCCTGGCCTCTGCCCATTAAATGCTAATTTCCAATACCCCATCCAACATTTCCTTCCTCCAGCCAGTGTGACAATCAAAAATGTTCCCCCTCCATTTCCAAACACCCTCTAGTGTGGTGGTATCCTCCCTGCCCTTAAGACCAACAGTTAGAGGAACTAAAAAAAAAATAAATGCAGGATTATATAATGTATGTTCATTGGGGTATATAAGTTGTGGACATCCTAGAATAGTAAATTAAATGGTTACTTTACCCCTAACAATTGATGGAGGTATTCAAGGGAAATCAGATGTTCCAGACACAAGCAGGCCCCAAGTAATAACTGGGATCCCTGAGCTAACAGAAGTCATATATGCTATAACTATTAGGTTAACCAAAACATTAAATTTCACTTAGAAATTAAGTCAATGCGTGTAGTAACTCTTTTATGCTAATCAGAAACTCTGACTACTTGATACATCTTTGATTAATAAAAATGAAATAAATGCTCCTTAGTAAGTATGGTTTATTTAGTAGAAAATATTTTCAGTAATATGGATTTTGGAGAATAGTTGGGATAGCACAAGTGATTAAAACAAAAAAAGTCTTTGCTGAGGCAATAATGCATGATATTAAGAGGAGAGTATCTGGAGCCACTTCCTAACTGTGTAACTTTGGGCAAGTTATTTAACCTCTCTGCTATTCATCCATGCATATCCATCTGTAAAACAAGGAAAATTTCCTGCCTAATAGTGTGATTGTGTGGACTAAATCAGCCAGTTATGTAAAATGCTTGAGCCTGTGGCATAGCAAATGCCACATACGTGCAGCTGTGGTTACTATTCACAGCTAACCTGTTGTGGCACCGTCCCTCATTTTAGAAATGAAAACACGAAGACCCAGAGCGATAGATTTGAAAGGCTTGTCACCAAACTCAGATTCAACCCAGAATATATGTTTTTTGACCCTCACACCCACATTCTACCCCCTTATTGCTTCCTTATTTGAATAAGAAGCCAGTAAATTCAGAAGTTTTTGGACATATCTTCTTCCTTGCTATTACTCTTTCTGCATTCAACTCCATCAGAAAGAGGAAGGATTATGGCAAAGAGAGATGTAGTCTTCATTAAGTCTTTAAGGACAACTGTCTTACTTCTTTTGGTTTAACCAGATGGAGACTGTCAGTTCTCTGGACACACTGTAGGTTTGTCGATGGATCAATGGATCGGCAGGCTTCTGCCTCAATGATCTGAGGAGGGAATCTCAAAGAATATGAGAGCCATTTCCAGGTGCAGCTAAGTTTTCCTGTTATCACTGTGCTCCTATAACTGAAATAATAATGACGACTAGTGATTAAGATGGATTTCTACTGGGTTTTAATCAATTAGTTGGCTGGGTAAAATTATGTTGCCAAGACAGTAAGGTTGGAATTGAGCCTGTTCCCCAATAATCTTGAAGAAAAGAGAACGTGACATCTCCCTTCAAATAATGAGCTAGAGTGAAGGTGATTCTTTGTGAGACGCTTGTTCTAAGATAGCAGGGAATGTACAAACACTGCTTTTGCTGAGAATACTTATAGTTCCACCTCCTTAGAAGCCAGAGGCTAGATTAGATAAGTGGCTTTCAATTTTGTGCCCATAATCCATAGCAAGAAGTACATTTCATATCACAACCCAGTACACACATACACAGACACACAATGAATTTTTATGAAATAATTTTTACCCTTACTAAATGAAATGCATCCTGCTATTTTTATATTATTTTTATTTCATTTAAAAAAATACTAATTGTAGTCCACTAAATTGATTTTAGGAGAGACCCACTTATTCCTTGTGACCTGTCACTGGACAAATATTAACATATTAGACTCAGAAAACAACTAACCACATTTTGAGAACAGTAGGCAATATGTTATTGGGCTCTGAGTTTGGGCCTCACCTTTGAATAGCATACATGCATTTTAATGGATGGACTTTGTAATATCTACTTCAGCCACTCAGACCTCTTAGTTTTATTAATTCCTATTTCTTGTCTGTGTTCCTAAGAGGTGTGATTGTCTCATAGCTTGGAACATGGCCCAGAATAACTAATAGGATGTGCAAGAAGGCAAGAAATGGAAGGGGAGAACTCAAAGGCAAACAGAAAAAAGTGAAAAGCACAAATATGAAGAGGTTTAAAGAGTCACAGAATATTTAAATATTAGAGATCCTGTCAAGAAACATGCAAAGCAATTATTAGAGCGTATATTGAAGAATGGTTATAATTTCATTCTTGTTCGAGGAAAGATTAAAGATTAGCAGCAACTGGAAGAACAAAATTCTTATCTCTATAACATAAATTGCTTTAAAATTAGGACAAATAGCTATATATTTTCTCTTTTAAATTATTAAATTCATTTAATAACATTTTACATCAGTTATCTCATTTGATCTTCATAATTTAATCAGGGTTATAAATGTAAAGAGCCAGAGCACCTCCAGATTGCCTGACCCCAGGGGGACCATCCACAGTGTGCTGGGAGTGAAAGGGCACCCATGACAGAAACACAGTGTAAATAGCGTCCCTTAGAGAAGGGGCACATGGCTGATGACAGTCCATTTCAAAGCTTTCTTCTTCCATGTCGTTGCCCAGTTTTTGTGACAGTATGGAAATAGAGTTGCCGAGTTAAAAAAAAAGTCTTAAAGCTAAGGCCGGGTGCACTGGTTGACGCCTGTAATCCTAGCACTCTGGGAGGCTGAGATGGGAGGATTGCTTGAGGTCAGGAGTTCGAGACCAGCCTGAACAAGTGTGGGCCCCCATCTCTATTATAAATAGAAAGAAATTAATTGGCCAACTAAAAATATATAGAGAAAAAAATTATCTGGGCATGGTGGCACATGCCTGTGGTCCCAGCTACTTGGGAGGCTGAGGCAGGAGGATTGCTTAAGCCCAGGAGTTTGAGGTTGCTGTGAGCTAGGCTGATGCCACAGCACTCTAGCCTGGGCAACAGAGTGAGACTCTGAAAGAAGTCTCACTCTGAAAAGAAAAAAAAAGTCTTAAGCAAAACCCTGGAAGCAGAATTGGTAGGAAACAAGCATTAAGAACAGCCAGAGGGTTACACCCCAATCCCCAACAGCTGTGCAGGGAACTTTCTAATCTGTCCATTGAAAGAGACTCAAACTTCAAGACCATGGACACCACGAGAGCATTCAGAAAATGCACCCACTTCTACACATTTTTGAGCTATTTATGGTCCTCTCTTGAGCTCCCCTGGATGTGCAGTTGACACAACCAAAATGCCTCACATCAAGTAATAAAATGCTCAGAGGGAGGGATGCTCAAAAACCCTAATCAAAACAAACCCCAAAGTGAACTAAACTGTAAAATAAAACAAATTTAAACCCACACACCCAAACCCCCCCTGAAGCAGGGTCAGATTTTACAGAGATTTATCCATGGAGGAGAGACGAGGCAGTGATGGGAACATAGTAGGACATTTGCATGGTATTCAGACTTGAGCACAACATTTAATTCGGCATGCTGTATAATTTTCCTGGACATGGTCGTTCCACATAGCCTTGATAACACCACAGCCACGCAGGCTGAAGGAAGATGAAAGGCTATCTGTAAAAGGCAACAACAGCGGCATTCTGTGCAGTGCTGAGGGCCTGTCTCTTAGCGAGTCACCATGGTTTGTATTTTATGTATTTATTAATAATCTGAAAGGGAGAACGAGCAGAATGCTCATGACAGTTGCTGGGAAAACTAAATTGGGAGGTGTTACAAGCTTTGATAAATGGCCAGGATATGAACAGCAGTATGGTTCAAAAAGACCAAAACAAGTCAGTAATATGGGATGAAAAAAAAAATGAAATTGTTCTCAGAAAGATGCAAGCAAATATCTGGCAAAAATCACATCAGAAGTGTTCACTGGAGAAGAGAATCTGGAGAAATGGGTTTACTATAACAGCAACAATCAGAGAAAGAGGGAGGTCTGGGAGCAATGTGGACAAGTTTTCAGTCAACGTTAATAACAAAAAGCAAGCAGGACTGTTTGAGGTGACGTGGGAGCCCTGAGGGCAAGTGAGGCTGTGGTCGCTCGTACACGTGTGGCTGGAATTACTCTGAGACAACTGTATTCAATTTTGAGCACCTAAATAAACAAACAGTGTTGACAGTCTTGGAGGGAACCCAGAGATAAATAATGAAAATGATTAATGTAAGGGAGGGATTGATTTATGAAGAAAGATTTACGGAGTGTATCATGTCGTGAAGCCATGGCAAACCATGCGAAGACAACATGGTACAGTCTGGAAATGACAATGTTTGCACTTCACATTTAGGTATAGAAATACAAAGGAAAAAAGAAAAATAAGATAAAATAGGATAGAATTAATTGTTGAGAGAAGAAACACAAGATTGACTTTTAAACAGTGCTGATTGAACTGGTGCTAAGACCAGTTACCTATTTTGATGGTGAATTGCTCAATTACGAGTTATCTTTTTAAGGTAAATGCTGAATCCACTGTCAGTTATAACATTATAACCAGAAAGGCCACTGAAAGGAGTAATACCGTCCTGGTGACAACATGGTTAGAACAAATGGGTCTCTCATTTCTAATTTTGCTGTTTGTCTTCTTTGACCTATAAGCAAACAAGCTTGCTTTTAACAG